TAATTCATTAAGAGATAAATGTAAAAATATATGTATCTATTAAAACATTTGAAATTAAATTTAAAATGATTTAAACAATAAACTGTATGAACTTTTTTAAAACGTTTAACAAAAAAAATGTGGGGGGGGGGGGTATTTAAAAAAAATTAATTTCAAAATTTAAGGAGATCGATTTATATGTAAGTAAAAAAAATTATAAAAATGCATTGAAATGGAAGTTAAAACAATTTAGGATCAATAAATGAGAAAAATTAAATTAAAAAGTGGAAACTAAAAAAGTTTAAAGTATTACATGTAATATGTTATATATTTAATGTATCAATACTTTTGCGTTTTGAAGCGATAAATGAAAAAAATTAAACAAGTGGTAGGTATTAATTACAGGGGATTACTAATGTGTGAAAATATAATTTAAGAAATCGCGGGTATTACAACAAAATTTAAAAATTCATTAAAGCAAAAAAAATTAAATAAAGCAAAGTTATGTAATTTTAAAAAACAGCACCTCTCCCTTTAAAAAAAGTATAAAATAAGTCAATTTAAAAATAAAAATTAACTAATTGAAATTAAAATGATTAGACAAAAAAAAATTAAGAAGATCTAAATGGTGTGTAGATGTCCGGTAAATCAATTTTTCTATTTATGCTTTCTGTGTCTTCTGCAGAGGCCCAGCTTTCTAAGAACAATCGGCAGTGTTTTTCTTTAATGTTCTGGTATAAAACAGCTGTATTTTCGAAATCCGGAGTGTGGTTGTTTTTCAGTGCATGATCTACAAGGAGAGACAGTGGGTTGTAATTCCTTAGTCCTGATTTGTGTTGATTTAAACGATCTTTAAATGGTTTGCTGGTTTCACCTATATAATTAGCTTGGCAATTGTTACAAGTTATTTTGTAAATTACGTTGGTTTTGTTTTCCATTTTGTTGATTTGTTTAGTGTCTGGATGGCGTAAGGCCTTTTTTAAATTTAAAGATGATTGATAGGTAGTTATGATGTTGTATCTCTTTAGGACTCTGGCGATGCGTTCAGAGCCGTAGCTGTAGGGGAGGGAGCAGTAAAGTTTTTTTGATTGATCAGGGGTGTTATTTAAAGGTGGAGATTTTGGTTTATAAAAATGTTTTTCGACAAATTTGCTAGGGTAACTGTTGTTTTTTAATTCTCTGAAGATTCTATTTCTCTCCACTATATCATTAAATTTTGAAGAACAATGTGTATCTAATCTTTTGGAGAGAGATTTAACCACAGCGATTTTATGATGAACTGGGCCAAAAGAATTGAAGTTTAAATAATTTCCTGTGTGGGTTGATTTTCTAAAAATACTAGTTTCTATTTGATTAAACTTTCTTGGCATTAAACTTGGCAAAATAAATATTTTAGTAAATCCAATATATGCCTTTTATTATCTAATGAATTAAATATGGATTGCTCTATTTTCAAAATATTATATTATATATAATAATATATCATAGAGCAAGCTCATATGAATTAATATAGTGTAAAAACTATAAAATAAAAATATAATAGTGATTCTATATTTAAAATTTAAAGAGTAAACAGATAATAATGATAATTTATATCAAGTAGATTTGATTAGATTAGCAAGCTAAATCTAAATTAATTATAAAAATAAATAGTTGTTTAGTTTTATAGTTTAGTTTTGTATTAAAATTATCTTTATTACTTTGATTATTTAAATTCAAATTATAAAATTTGTAAATTGTTATTATTTAATAGAGAGAGAGAAAAAAATTTCCTTTACTTCTTACACATCATCCATATATATTTATAATTAATAACAATAAAATTTAACAACGTAACGTCTTTTGCAATCGGCTTTTACACGTCATTTAGACATACTCTAATTTGTATATAGAATAATAGAAGTGAGAATATATTTAATAGTATAAATTTTAGTAGTTAGAGAGAAAAGAGAGAAAGACAGAACCATGCACTTTTATTCAAACTAATAATAAGAAAAAAAAATTGTAAAGAAGGTAGATAATATTGTTAGTATATATATATATTTTTATAATTTTATATTTTATCCTTTTTTTTTTTTAAATGATTTTTTTTTTTAAATTTATAATATGAATATATCTAGTTGTATTTAGTAATATATCAGGTTGATAAGACAATTGAAGAAGAAAGAAAATAGTTATATATAGTTATATACACTGCGTGACATTGAAAATGGAACACCAAGAAATAGTGGCCAGAAAGTGATGAAACTCGGCAGACAGAGAGAGACAGGGACGAACAATAAGTGATCTTTATTTCAAAATGATAGTCATAATACAGAGCGAGAACGGCGTCGGCTTAGTAGCAAGTAGGACCACCGCGGACGGCGATGCACGCAGCAACACGTCTAGGTAGAGAGTCAATCAGAGTACGGATGGCGTCCTGAGGGATGGCTCTCCATTCCCTCTCAACCATTTGCCACAGTTCGTCTTCTGAACGCGGCTGTGGCAAGGCATGCAAACGGCGTCCAATGATGTCCCAGACGTGCTCGATTGGTGAGAGATCAGGAGAGTACGGTGGCCGGGGAAGCATCTGTACATCTTGCAGAGCTTGTTGGCTAATGCGAGCAGTGTGCGGTCGGGCGTTATCCTGCTGATAAAGGGCATTGGGTACCCCCTGAAGGTAGGGGAGTGTCACCGGTCGCAGCACATCATCAACGTATCGTTGGGCCGTCATAGTGCCCTGAATACGGAGTAAAGGTGACCTGGAATCATACGCGATTGTGCCCCAAACCATGATTCCACGTTGTCGCACGGTGGGGCGTTCCACAATTGCTGCCGGATTGGAACTTTCTCCACGTCGACGCCACACGCGTACACGGCGACTATCACTGGACAAACAGAAACGCGACTCATTTGAGAACACGACCCTGTGCCATTCCGTCATCCACGTCGATCTAGCCCGGCACCATTCCAAACGTTGGCGCCTATTCGGTGGGGTCAATGGCAGTCTTCTTAGCGGACGGCATGAGTGCAAGTCATTAGCAACCAAACGACGGGAAATGGTTCTGGTCGAGATGGAATGATCTAGGGTGTCTTGCACATGTTGCAGGATGGCGGTACAAGTGGCTTGTGGGGCCGCCACTGCTTGTCGAAGGATACGCCGATCCACACGTGTTGACGTCACTCTGGTTGCACTGACATTCCTATAAATTGCCACATTTCCTTGTTCCAACCATCATCTCCACAGTCGGTGCACCGTGGACGCACCAAGGTGTGTATCAGCTGCGATTTGACGTATGGACCAACCTGCCCTTTTCAGTCCGATCACCATGCCCCTCGTAAAAGCGTCTGTCTGCTTGAACTGCCTCCGTTTACGATGACATGGCATTCTCTGTTATTACACGTGTCTTTTGACACAAGAACAAAATTTCTACAATGATTTTCCTTTAAGAAATAACGACACGAATACTGTCCTTTCTGCAAGTTCCTTCCCTTATATCTTACTCCATGTGCGCACGAGAGCTGCGCATTTTACATCATTTGCATAACTCGGTTAGGCGCGTCTACCCTGAAATTTGCATAATTTTCTGGCCACTATTTCTTGGTGTTCCATTTTCAATGTCACGCAGTGTATTATAAAATAAAAAAAATAAAAAATCATTTAAAAAAAAAGGATAAAATATAAAATTATAAAAATATATATATATATATACTAACAATATTATCTACCTTCTTTACAATTTTTTTTTCTTATTATTAGTTTGAATAAAAGTGCATGGGTCTGTCTTTCTCTCTTTTCTCTAACTACTAAAATTTATACTATTAAATATATTCTCACTTCTATTATTCTATATACAAATTAGAGTATGTCTAAATGACGTGTAAAAGCCGATTGCAAAAGACGTTACGTTGTTAAATTTTATTGTTATTAATTATAAATATATATGGATGATGTGTAAGAAGTAAAGGAAATTTTTTTTTCTAAAAGCCTCGCGGGAGCTTGCCCAAGATGACCTCCGGGAACTTCGTCCATCTTCCATAAACGACCATGAATTTATTCAACTTTATCGAGTATTTTTCAAGGGACCGGGAAAAAATGTTCACTAGATAAAACGATGATTTTGTAATGTAGAAAATTAGGAAAGACAAAATTCAGAATGACACGGCACACAGGTACCGGGAAAAAATGATCACTTTATCAGTTTCAAATTATCAAAATATATCTATTTCTTTTTATAAGTTTATAGAGAATTGTTTTAACAAATGTTCGTTAGACAGACCTTTACTCGGGTACCGATTAATATTGATTTTATTCAACTTATCGAGTATTTTTCAAGGGACCGGGAAAAAATGTTCACTTTATCGAGAGATTCGTTAGACAAACCTTTACTCGGGTAAAACACGGGCGAAGCCGGGTACATCCGCTAGTATATTATAAAGGACTGCGGCGTATGATTATAAAACAACACTTAAAGTTTCACCGCATAAGTTTCTTTTCTGTGAAAAATCAATATTTATTTCAAAGATAAATATTTACTATTTCTAACTTTTTTGGATGAAGTATGAAAGGGTGAAAATATGAAGAGTAATGGCGAACGGAAAAATAAAAGTGTCCAGGGGCGGGAATCGAACCCACAACCTTCCGCTTACCGGGCAGATGCCATGTCCACTAGGCTACCCTGGACGTATCCTTCCGTTCGTAAATAATATTTACGTATACATTATTTACGAACGGAAGGATACGTCCAGGGTAGCCTAGTGGACATGGCATCTGCCCGGTAAGCGGAAGGTTGTGGGTTCGATTCCCGCCCCTGGACACTTTTATTTTTACGTTCGCCATTACTCTTCATATTTTCACCCTTTCATACTTCATCCAAAAAAGTTAGAAATAGTAAATATTTCTCTTTGAAATAAATATTGATTTTTCACAGAAAAGAAACTTATGCGGTGAAACTTTAAGTGTTGTTTTATAATCATACGCCGCAGTCCTTTATAATGTATTATAAGTTACTTTAAGTATTATTTACGAACGGAAGGATACGTCCAGGGTAGCCTAGTGGACATGGCATCTGCCCGGTAAGCGGAAGGTTATGGGTTCGATTCCCGCCCCTGGACACTTTTATTTTTCCGTTCGCCATTACTCTTCATATTTTCACCCTTTCATACTTCATCCAAAAAAGTTAGAAATAGTAAATATTTCTCTTTGAAATAAATATTGATTTTTCACAGAAAAGAAACTTATGCGGTGAAACTTTAAGTGTTATCTTAGTAAATATGTTCAATGACAAGTTTCAAGCAGTTCGAATTATAATCAACAAAAAATAACAGGGTGTATATTTTTAATAAAACCTTTTAATATGTCTTTTTTAAAATTAAATTATGAGTACATTTAAAAATAATGTAATTATCAAGACTATTATAATATTACTACATTGGACGATCGAACAAAACCAATAATAACAATGTTATCCAAATTTCACTTTTTCATTAATTACCTTTAGATCTATTTATAAACAACTATAACATTGGGTTGATTGATTAAAAAATTCAATTTCTTTCTTTCCTTTAATAGTTATCTCCTTTAGGATCAAATAATTTAACTTAATGAAAATCTATAAAGCTCAATTTTTTTTAAGGAAAAAAAAGGGGGGGGGGGGACATTTTAAACTGAAGTACTGAACAAAGAAAACACATCAATTCGACCACAGACCTGAGCCATAAGGCAGTATGAATAAATTAAATTTAAATATTTGTTCGTGACTTTTTGGCGTTAGTGTCGATAGACTAAGGCCAAAGATC